TGAGACCTATTCGGCCAACCTCGAATGAGACAGCCTAATGGAGCATAGATAAGATACGAGGGTAGCTCAGCCACCAGACTTTTTATTAACAGCTACTTACAATGACAACCGTTCTAATATAGATTTGCTAATAAGATCAAGTGAAGTGCTACAGATGTAGGATAGAGGCTACTATTGGGCTTTTTCGAGTCTAAAAATGTTTAGCTTACTCGGAACAGCACTCGTTATATTTAGCGTAAACTCGCTAAGTTATTGAAGAAAGCCCGCTACTGAGCACACTAATTTTAACTCATGTTACCTTGTGTGATCAGAACACTTAGCGATGTGGCCTATTCTTCTTGGCAATGGTTAATAAAGAGAAGGTAGATAAGAGAAAGAGCTATTGAGCAAAATATGAGTAAATTAGCCTAAAGTTTGGCTTGGACTCCGGCAACCATTTATATGTACCTATGCATATCTATTATTAAAGACATTATTTATTCTAATAAGTAATATAGGCTAAAATGATACAAGAGTTAGTTCTGCCGCAAAACAAAGTATTGAACGAGTATGAATAAATTAGAGGTAAATTTGATATTCCATTACAATCTAGGATAAATATATAATAAAAAGAGCGATACACTGTCAGAAAATAATTCAATACCTTGTAATCAACTTCTGCTGTGGAAGTTATTTTGGCAGTGGTAAAAATCAAATTGTCACTAAGTTAAGTAAAATAAAGAAGCCAGAGTTACCTATAATTAAGAATACATTGCAAGCTTACACAACTTAGCCGCAGAAACTGAAGGTACAACCAAAGCGATAGGCTGTCGAGTACAGGGCAGCATGAGAACGTTAACAGGCTCTTTCGAGTCCGGAAAACCGTCAGCCAGTCTGTAGGCGGCCCTATCACAGACACCTTGGACCCCTGTCAACGAGTTGAGATTTGTGATGTTCAGGCCACGATCGATGAAATCAGCAGAGCCGGCGAGTTTGTAAAAGGCTTCAAATCCGCCTAGAATGCAAAAAATAAAAATACGAAATTGTGTAATGAATGTAAATAGAACGAGAAACAGTTAAAAGTGTAAATAGAAGATGCAAGTGATAGTGACGAACCACTTTTGGTATAAGTACATAACTAGCCATTGCATTATTATATTTGCCTAAAATAGACGTTCTAGCTTCATTCCAACAATGTCAACACCCTGTGTTGCTAGCTTACCTAGTAAATGTGTCCTGACATTGTTTCCTCAAATTGGCTTAATTGGCTACAAGACTTATGAGAACATACATCAGGCTATGCCTTCAGAAATTATTTTCATGTATTCTTATAGTAGCGGATGGTTGACCTGGTTACCCTGAATGTATCTTGTTAGTAGTCCGCTGCTGGAAAAGCACACGGCAGCAATCACAAAGGACGCATTACAAGCCATTCTTAGAAATCAATAGAAGTGAGTTGTGAAAGCAAGGTGAAACCCAGTTGGTAAGCCGGTGGCAACTGATCAATTATGATTGACTTAATTCACTTGGATAAAAAACCGC